TGAGTGGCATACGGCTGTTTGTCCTTGCCAATTTTTTGTATTATCATGAGGTCCTTGTTGAGGATCGACTCTACTTTTTTCATATCGGATTGGTGTTCGTTCAGAAAAATCAGTCGGTCCTGGACAGATGAAGAGGACTAACCAAGCCCATCCCTTAAGACCGGTTGATTCGTGCCAGACTCGTTGAGGGGAAAGGAGCACCGATTTCCAGATCATGGGTCCCTCGCATGTCTAAGTACAGGCCACATAGACATTGGCCTTCAAAAGTCAAGGCGATTGAGAATGGAAGTCGAACACGGGGCGCATCCAAGAAAAAGGCTGTTTCACGCTTGAGCGAACTTCCTTCTTCTCATAAATCGAATATAAGAGGTCGTAAATATTCGATTTTATTCATTTTGACCACCGCAAGAGACGGCATGTTCGTCCTTTAGGGGTGTGGCATTCACACGATACAACGTCTGGTTTATTATTGTGCCCTATCCAGGACGTTTTCCGCCTTTATAGCGACAGGTATCGATAAGGGGGAGCCTCGAATTCAAACTATGGAGGAATCTCAGAAACCATTTTCATCGTGAACTATGCTTTCAAGAACACTTATCAAGAATTTTCAATAGAAAAAACCCATACTCTTAACGGCTGTAACAAAAAACGGATAGCCTGAGAATTGATAGATGTCCAACTATACTTACTGTGTGAACGTTTCCCTTCTGTGAATTATTCGTACAATGACAAGAGGCTAGGCAATCAATTCAAGAATAATTATAGTTGTACAATTTGCAAATCGTTACCCTCCTGTGCATTAACCCGGATTCAGATCAAATTCATTTGATCTTGATCTTGTTGGTAGATTGCTACTATGAGAACCCCCTTGTGTGGCAGTGTGGAAGTGTTCTTGACCTAAACAAGTTAATAAATACTACGTCGTGCAAAGCAACGAACGACCACTTAAATCAGGAGAATTCATCCTGGCGTTGGACCCATTACCACTCACAAGTGGGGGGGGGGGGGGGGTACTCTACTTACCGTGGGACTTTGAATGGAGACCAAGATAAATCTATAGAGTTTGAATGCTGTTTACGAAAATGCTAATTAAAACTGCAAAATGGTTTTCCTTAAAAAGTCGTGGGGGCTCGAAGTTCGCTTGTCAGTAGTACAATAGGATATGCGAACTCGTCGCTGCGTAAACAAGCGCCAACGTGGCCTAGTGGTAATGGTCTCGCTTCAGAGGCGTAGGGTGCGGGTTTGCTCTCCGCCATCGTCGGCATTTTTGCAAAGTGTTTTTCATTTCCCTAAAGGCTCTCTAAACCTTTTCTGACATTTGTTCAAAAGAACACCTTATTTCTGCTTTTATTTTCTCTCGTCGCCCCATCCAAGGAACTCTATTTCATTTTCGACTTGGAGAAACATTCAACAGCAAGGTGCCCGGTATGTATAAGGTGCTCGTGAGGATTTCAGCCTCGATAGGAAAAGCTGAAGAAATGTATGCTGCACACATGTTATTCACTAACTGCCACCTTATACATGATCCTCCTCTATGACAAAACAGTCAATTGTCTCAAGATTTAACAAATATCCGCAAGTGTGATACGACAGTCTAGGCTTTCAACAACATGCCTTGCACCAAGAGCATTCCCGCCTGACCACTAGATTTGGAGCTTTGAGAATTTTTCAAGTCTGATAAAACTCTGAAATGTTGAAAACCCAGACTCGCGTATCACACTTGGCGGGTGCTTGTTAAATCTTGAGGCAAATGACTACTTTGTCTCCGGTGGTAGAAGAGCATGTCATAAGGTGTACAGTTCGTGAACAACAAGTGTGCTGCACCCATTCTTTTCAACTTTTCCTATTAATGCTGAGTTTTTCAGAAACATCTTATACATCTCTGACATTGCTGTTAAATGTTTCTTCAAGTCGAAGATGAAATAGAGTCACACAATTAAGGTGCAGAATCATACTTCCTAGGATGGGGGCGACGAGAGAAAATAAAAGCAGAATTAGGGTGTTCACTTGAACAAATGTCAGAAAAGGTTTAGAGAGACTTTAAAGAAATGAAAAGAAATGAAAAACACTTTGCAAAAATGCCGACGATGGCTTGGAACAAACCCGCACCCTACGCCTATGAAGCGAGACCATTACCACTAGCCACGTTGGCGCTTGCCAACGTAGCGACGAGTTCGCATATCCCATTGTACTACTCAAGCAAATTTCGATCCCCCATAACTTTTTAAGGAAAACCATTTTGCAGTTTTTATTTCCATTTTCGTACCTAAAGATTTATCTAGGGCTCCATTCAAAGTCCCACGGTAAGTAGACTACCCCTCCCTGGTCAGCGGTAAAGGCATATAACGATGATCACCCGTGCCACGTGTCGCCACTTTGACAAAGATTAGCCCGAGCCGGAACTAGCACCGTCCCCTCCCTGTCACGAGCAGGAGTGTTCAGATGAATCTTCTTGCTCCACAGAGCCGAGGCAGCGACATTCTTGTTTAGTGCTCTATAGAAGAAGCCTGACCATGGGGCTGGCAGCAGTTCTGTTTTTAACGTCCTATTTATTGAACACCCAAATACAACAGCCATCACAAAACCGCATGGTGTGTCCGGATCATCCAACCTCCATTTTCTTGCCGCAGGCATGCTTGTCGCTGACGGAGTTGGGAGTTTGGATCTCCCATAGCTCTTGCGTATGCTGGAAAGCTTCGAACATTGTCCTTCCATCAGAGCGCTGTATTAAGCTGAGTGCACGGTTAAGCTCACTCACAAGTTTGACGAGTTACGAACAAAACGTCGGCTCCGGACAGGATGAACCCCATTTTGGGCTATCCGGGTACCGTGCTCTCTGTAAAGCTGTGAGCTTTTCTTGATTCAAATTGTGCTGAATGTTTTCAACTGTTGTAATTTGCCCGCTGGTCGTTATCCGAATGTTTTTCAGGGTTGGCGAACTGTGGACAAAACTTAAACTTCGGACAGAATTTGTTACGTTCTAGGCTGCCCTCTCTGCTCGTTCGTTTGGCTGCCCTCAACTAAAATACTGCCAACCCCAGCAGGGATCCTACTTACTATAAAGCGCTTCGTCCGTCGTTCTGTCGTCTATCGTCTGTCGTTATGTATTTCTGTCACGAAATCCATTCGCTCCTTTAGATCTGCCCGGAGAGATCGGAACAAGCGTGGGATGGGTGGGCCAAGTCCCGAGAAGTATAAAGCACACAACATCTCGGCGGAGCTTCGCCCGCAGTGGGCGTGGCGTGCATCGAAATGAGCTGTACTGAGGAACGTGATTTCAAATTCAGTCACAAGATGGCTTCAAAACTGGGGTGTAAAGGTGGCTAGAGGTGTGTATTGGCAAGTTAGATCGAACTGGGGAGATGGGCGGGGCGTCAACGGAGGCTCGCCCACAGTGGGCGGAGCACGCGTTGAGGTGACAACTACTTTTCAAAAAAGAGTTTAACTCTGTTCAGAAACGTTCTAAAATGCGGGAAAAAAAGTGGGTAGAGGTCAGCAAAGGAAATGTAGTCAGCCATTATTGATGGGCGGGGAATGCACAAATGTGGGCGGAGTTATCCACAAACATTATAATTCGTTTCCACGAGGTCCTGGAGAACGGAAAAAAGATGCATTGAGTCTAGAAACTGTAGGCAAATCGAGTCCTATAACTGAGAGGAAAGTGCGCCAATGTGGACGGAACTCGTAAGGAACCTACAGTTTGAAAATGGAACGACCCCGCCCACGGTGGGCCAAGGGGCAGGGTATGGGTTTAAATTCGTTGCTCCTGTTCCCGTGGACCTAGAGCGCTGAAATTTGATGGGTGTACGGGGGGCAGGAGAGCACCTATGTCGGGCGGGGGACTTATGGTTAGTTCCGCTCACAGGAGGCGAGGCGATGGCAAAAAATGTTAATTTAGACTTGAAGCGAAATTTCGAAACCAAGGTTGAATAAGTCGGAAATAAATCGAGTCACTCAAACTCTCAGAATCTAAGGTTTGTTCATGGCGGACGGGGCGCATGTTGGGTGTTTGCGTTTGGCCGGGAATGAATAAGTCCTGTTCTCTTCTACCGAAGTCTCCAAATTTGAAAAAGGTGCTGGCGGGGAGGCCATTTTAACACGAGAAGAATGGGAGCCCAGCGTCAGCCGGGCGAGCCGACTGGTGATTCATGTGAGAGGTTTATAGATTACAGATAGCAGGCATGTCGGAGAACAGTTGCCAATATCGTACCGCCCTTCCTATACAGCATCCCAATCTCGTTAGTTTATCAAATGTGGGCACCTAGAATTCTCAGAGGTACCAAGTGAAGAGAACAGACAAAGTTTCGACGATGACTGGCAGGAGGCTCTCGCGGTGTTTTGGTTCAATGCCGCCGGAACTGGGCTTTGCACTTCATCGACGTGATGGCATGACGAATTTTATGAACTCGCGAAATGCGTATTTCCATAACAACAACGGTTACCATATTTTTTTGAAAATTCACACTTGAGCTATAAAAAAACAACATTTGAAGTTCGCACGGAGAAATAGGCACTGCTCATCAGAGTTTACCGAGATCAATGTACAATAGACCGATTCTGATTGTCATGCCTGCACGTCTAATCAATAAATTGAAGAAGAATAATCAGAGAAAGCTCTACTTCTAGGGTTTGCTTTGGAAAGCTACAACTGATTTCATAACATTATGGTACATATGGACAACAAGGAAACATTTTTTGGCAGGAACCGGTTAGTTACTTCATCATTTGAAGTTGCGACAGGACGCCGAACATGATTATATAATAATTACACTTCGGTAGCAGCCACTGGCTATCCGCATTCAATCTGAAGTCGCGGCAGGATAACGAACACTATCTCGATTATACTTCAATCGCACGTGTAATGCGTGAAAGACAGAATCGATAGGCATGGCCTTGCCTACCAACGTCAAAAACTCGATTGAGCGCACAGTTGTCTTGTGCCATCGTATCAAGGTCTCCATCGCCAGGTCGTTGCTCACGGATCTGCAGAAATTCAAATCTCACTTTTTCACGGACGTGAAGTTAAGATAAGGTGAGCAACCATACTTCAGCCGAATTTCTCCTGCTAACTCCTTTAAAATATCAATAATTTCATGGAACGCTTTGCGGATATCCGTTCGCACGACCTAAACGCTGAAATGGTTACTTAATCACGATCACAGTGACGACCGATTCCACAAACCAACGCATGGAGTTCGGATTCAGCCTCGGTCAAAGTCTTTTCGATTTCTTCCACCTCTACCGCAGCACTCAACACTTTTGCGTGTCGATCGAAAATTGAGATAACCTGAAACATACGGTGTTCACATGAGGCTTTGAGTTTACCTAATTTTGCCAGCAGGATTGAGCTGGGCGTGCGAAACTAGGATCTTCATGGTTCAAGTAGTGTTTTGACTCTAATTCATAATTTTCTTCTCGAATCATGGAACTAAACGCTATCCCAGACTAGGCTGCGGGCGCGTTTTGACTTTAACGATTACTAAATTAATAACGACCATTAAAGTAGAGCGGGAATATCGACATGCCAGCTAATTGCACGCAAACAGTGGAGTAGAGTGAAGTTTGGGATAGTAATCGGAGGTCATTTTGCAGTGTTAAGCTGTATATAGGCGCAATATCCGATGGAAGTGAAATTGTCAAAAGAAACTCATGACGAAATACTCGCAAAGTTAACCGACCAACAGAGGTGGTGAAATTTGATGAAGCAGTCATTCTTCTTTCCAAATGTAACAGTGGTGTGCAGAGCTTAGGGACGGAAGCAATTTTTTAACCAGATAGCATAGCTAGGTAGAAACAAACGATACCTTATANGAGGGGAATATCATGGTATTGCAAAGAAAGCAACTGACAGAAAAACGAAATAGAGAAATGAATAAGGTATTTTTTTTAAAGATATCGATTACACATGGTTATTCACGATTCACCTTCCCGATACTTCGAACAAACTGACGCGGTTCCTAATAGATTGTATGATCACCACGGACAGCAATACATGCTCTGCAATGCGATCCCATACTTTCCACAAGGTTGGTAATGGTTTCTGTGGTGAGACATTCCTTTCTCTATCAGCGCATTTGACAATTGCTATATGGTAATTGGTGCATTGGACGTGCTGCAGTGCGTCCACCCAGTGTATCCCATACGTGCTCGATGGGATTTAGTTAGGGAGAAAAGGTAGGCGAAGGCGGTATCATTAGGATATCCTCCCGTTCCAACAGCCCCTCCACCTGTGCTGTTCGATGCGGCCACGCCTTGTCACCTAGAAAGACGAATTCAGGGTGAAATACAGCCCTGAAATGACGCATATGAGAAAGGAGTACCTTATCACAGCAACGCTGACTCCTGAAGGTTCTACATTACAAAACCTAGAGGTCAGTACGGCCATGCAACGTGATACCATAACACTTCCATCATCAGAACGACACATCCGAGAATATTTCTGTGAGAGTTGCGTGTTCCCTCTTCTCGCCACATGGGGGTGCCTCCAGAATCACTGTCCACGCTTAGTCTGTTCATATCCGAAAAGAACACACGCCTTCATTTGTCCATCGTTACCACCCTTACCGGTCTAATCAATGCGCGGGCGTCAAAGAAACACAACGTAGCGGTCGTCGGGGGGAGAGACCCCACAGTCAGTCGTTGTGCCGCTAGGGGTGGGTTGCTGAGATGGCTTGCCTTGGAGTCCCGTTAAATACCCGTAGAAGTTGATTGACGCCTCTGCTGGTCTCTGCTTGCCTGATGCACAATGTAGCGGTCATTGCAGTAGAACTTGATCGATCACCTTCTCTCATTCAGGCAGGAGTACCAGAGGGTTTGAAGACACAGTTCATGATAAAAATGATTACTGCGTTCGACCTTAGAAATTACCCAGTGGCCTAGGGTAACAGGAAGGACCCTCTCGCGCCAAAAAAACTCGACGGTTAGGGCATAGTAGGAGTCCCGTTCACGGCTCGCGCGGACTTCCCGCCCCTCGATCGATGTCACGTCAGACGAGTGTCGAAGCGATACATATTGCGAGTATTCGCTAGGACCCACACATAATCAGCTGATGGCCGAGTGATGAGGCGACGTTTCTCTCCCATCCTTTTTTTCTGTATTGTTCCTTTTCCTGCTGCAATCCCTTCTTTAATATACTACCCCGAGAAGCGAAAAAGGTGGACTACCTTTGCTGTCACTAAGGCTCTTCTGGTGAATTATGCTTAAAAGTGGATGAATTTTCGCCTACCGTAGTCAGCTGTTCGCACCAGGACCCACGCGTACGCAGTGAGACACATTGTATAGCTCGTCCAGACGTCCCACTCTTTTTCACCTTTCTGGTCTCATTCTCGTCAAGCCCCCTTTTTAACGGTTTTTCGAAGCCTTTTTTCACTTTGGAAACACCGATTCACGCTGTTCTTTCGCCTTCATCGCACTATTTCCGATCCTGTCTTCCATTTTCATCATAATCTGGATTACCCAAAATTAATCGTGAACCGTGCCTTTAACCCATTGACGACCATGCAGTCCACATGTGGACTGCACCTTTTCGGCCATGTTCACGACCATGCAGTCCACATGTGGACTGCACCTTTTCGGCCATGTTGACTACCATGCAGTCCACATGTGGACTGCACCTTTTCGGCCATGTGGTACCGTGCAGTCCACATGTGAACTGCAGTTGTATTTTTTTGTTTTATTCATTTATGTTTTATTCATTTCCATTTTTTTGCAATTTTTCTTCTCAAAACATTACATCAGGTCTGGATGAAACTACATACAGCGTATTCTTAGAAAATCATCTAATTTTGCAATTGTAAAGGTGTTTTTCCGAAGGAGTACATTACCTTGTTGAATTTTTCTTTCGTTGAACAACTTCAAAAAATGAGATATTTCAAAAAGACGGCCGTCATTAGCATTTTCGCTGTTATCGACTAAATACAAAGCTCGTAAAGGTTCCCCGAATCAATTTCTGGTAATGATTGGACTATAATTGAATGACCACTAGAACGAGTGCCGGTTCTATAGTAAAGATCAATAATCACTCATCGTGGGCTTTCTTACCAAACCCATTTGAAGGAACATCCCGAAAAACCTATAAATGTCTCTCATAAACTTCAAAAAAATGGTCATGTTGGACCATGAAGTCCACACAGGGGCTGCAGTCGCGAGTGGACTAAAAGCGCGCCGGTCCCTCGCGACGCTTTTCCCGCAAAACGCCATGGTCGTCAATGGGTTAATATGCTCTCCAAGCACGTGAAACAACGCTACGAGTCAGACTGAGCTTCTAGGCCACGCACGTCATGGTTAGACCTTCTTTGAGTTTCTCGGTGATCCTTTCTCCTGTGTAGTCGTTCAGGCGATGCCTACGGGACACGTTGTATCAGACGATAACATTATAGCACTTCGTAGCTGCTTCTTGATTGACAAAATTCTTCTTCATACACGTCAACTGTCTCAATTTGCGCGGACAGCCCTACTTCTCGCCATATCGAGCTCTTCTTCAGGGAGGGAAGCCTAGCCTCCGGTGCATAACCGCTAGAGGTCTAGCAATATACTTCTGCACTCCCATTTATTTCCACTTAGTCGATAATGATAATCTTACTTTAGCCATCTTGTCCCTCTGTGTAGTTCTTTGCTTACTTCTGAAGGGAAACACGAGACTCCCTCCCTCAATGAAATATTACAGTGCAGAAACGAGTCACGGACATGATTACTTTATCTTTTAGGAGAAAACGATGTAATTCGAAGAACGAACGCTTCCCTAATGGTTCAAAAATTCTCTGTCTTCGGATATATAGGACCTTTCAACCTTTTGAATGGTGATCAACTAGTAAATTTCAGAATTTAAACCACCTCGGTAACACCCATGAAGCTAGGAAACAATCTTGAGAAATCGCCCGCAGTGGTGGCAAGGGATGCATCTCGAAAGAAAACGTCTCTCCCTCAGAATCTTCAACGTGGTCTGATTCAGAAGAAGAACAACAAGCTAAGACAAGCGACGTTTTTAGCGGTCTCAAATTACCGTCTCTAAACATACCTTAAGTACACAGCTCACAATAATTCTGAGGTACGGAAGTATTGCTGCGCTTAGAATAGTACATTGAGTAAAGTGAGGAAATAGATGTAATTCGCGAGATGAATCTCTTTGAACTAATTGGGCTTGTGGTTCGCACGGGGGTACTTGGGCGAGATTACGGTCGTGTGCAATTGTGTAAACAGCTGGCTTCGGTATTCTTGCTGCCAAAATGCTTCTCTTTGTGGTCCCCATGAATGGAAGGGTCCCTATTGCTCTCAAAATCTCGACGGTCAGGGCATAGTGGAAGCCCTGCTCCTGTGTTGAGTCTCTTTCCCCCTCTCGATGGATGTCAAGTCAGACGAGTGTCGGGGCAATACAGAATGCGAATATTCGTTCTAGGACCCACACACCGCCGAGTGATGAGGCGGGAAGCAAAAGAATAAACAGAGGAAAAAAGATTGGGAGAAAAACGAATGGGAATGGGAGAGTGGGAGATGCGATGTTTTTCTCCCATTCTTTTTTTCCTCTATTATCCTTTTGCTGCCGTGCTTGCCTTTTTTAACCTCCTACCCCAAAAGGCTGAAAAAGGTGAGCTGTTTTTGCTGTAATTGGGGGTTTTTTTTTGTTCATCTGTGCTTATAAGCGGATGAATTTTTGTAACCAGATATTTGCACTAGGACCCACACGTACTCAACGACGCGCTATGTGTAGCTCGTCCAAATGCCCCACTCTTCTTCATTCTTCTGGTTTCATTCTAGTCCAGCCCCCTTTTTACGATTTTTCGAAGCCTTCTTTACTTCGGAAACACCGATTCACGCAGTTCCTTCGCCTCCATCGCACTATTTCCCATCTTAGCTTCCATTTTCCGCCATAATCTGGGTTACCCAAAGTTATCGAACTGTGCCTTTAGCTATTGCGTTTTTTCCTTTTCCATGAGTCAGATAAGTGGCGTTGTAGCAGAGAACTTGACGTGCCGAACGAGAAAGAATGATTCCTAGTCTTCCTCCAACTATTTCCAGATTTTTTCACTCTCCACTTTTCATACTCCCGCATCAAAAGCCTCGGCAACTGAAACTGTATACTGCGAGAACTCTGCACCTCAGCTACCCTCCGTACTGTATCTGCACAAAGCATGGCAACCCTCATTCTACAGTTCTTCATATTCTCTAACGTTTATTTCTCGTCAGTAGCAACCCAAAATTTATGAATGTATTTCTCCCATGGTTGGTTGCCATGGGTAAAGTCTTTGGAAGCTAGTCAGTCCCCTCCGAAGGTGCGCCCCCGCAGCCGACTTCTATTTGGAATCGTAACGGCGTCTTGAATGGTATGTAGCCTATACAATGACTTGCGGAGGCCAGCCGTGCACAATCAGTGATTTTATTCTTCCCGACGAGTCTGGCACCAACTAACCAACTGACCGATCGAGAATTCGCACCCGTGACGATGAATGTGTTATAGTGCGCCGCTTGTCACTTCACTGCACCACCGCCGCTGCAAGGTGCAAGGTGTTTCCCTACTTTAATTAACACAACCGATTTGACGTTTCCGCTCAAAAATGGGATGTAGAACAACTTGATCGAGTTTGGGAGCCGAGAGCAAAATTTAAAACGAAAGTAGAAAATGTAGCATAACTTAGCGTAATATCATAGCCACCACCTATCACGTCTATAGAATAAGCAGATGTACAATGAATAAGATATAATTGGATAAATGGTGGAGTAAAAAAAAAGATACCAGTTATTGTAGAAAAAAGTAAGGTGTCTCTCAAATCACACCATTATCACGACGCAACATACTCGCGGCAACTGATGTGGAGTTGCGAAGAACTTGCTTACTGATCAGCTGAACTGCTCAATAGCAGCGACTACAACAGTACAAATTTACACGGTAGCCAGCTGCGGTAGTAGAATGGAAACAAAGCAATACTCAACGGACTAAGCAGCGGGAAGTAGGGGAATATACGCTCTGACGAATAATGAGTAAATGACAAGGCAACATTTTGAAGGCCCACCGGCGCCGCAACTGAATTCAGGGAAGGTTTTTCTCTCACCGTGGAGAATGAAGCTATGCGGGTTCGCGTCCTGTCCGAGGCCGAAGTTTTGCCCGCAAAGTCGGTCGCTATTCTTCAAAATTTTAAGTGAAAATCGCAGAGTCCAACGTAACATGGTTTAGGGTTGCCGATCATTAATCTGGTTATGCAAGCTGATCCTCTCGTTCCCCGCCCTGAGCGACCCAATGCGAGCATCCTTGGAATCCAGGGATCGTGCTAGTAGAAGGTCTCGGATAATATTTTCATCCTAAGTTGTGCTTTGAGTTCAAAGATAGAATGATACTTGCCTACTCACCTTCTCGACGAACAGATCTTTGACTATACAAACGAGATTGAGTAATTTCGAAACAATGAAAGACATGTAGCGAACACGCATTTCCGCTGTTCTACGGTGGTCATCCACCTGCTTGAAATCTTCGGCAGTTTTCCCTGGAAGTTCCAATTAATAAATCCTTGCCGTAGTTTTCAATAATTTTGCTCACATGTGTAATATTAGGTAATGTTATATGAGCATGATGCCCAAATAAACGCTTGCTTTCGAATGACTGGTGGGCACTTGAGGGGCGGTCCGGGGGTCGACAGTGAGAGAATGCACGGGAGGGTTGGGTAGGACTCCTTGAAGGGGGCGGCTGAAATGAAAGGACTGTATCAGGCAGGCTACCCGAAAGGAGGAGTTCAGATTGCGAACTCTATCTTCGAGGAACGCTTACAATGCTGGCGTTTAATGAAAAAGAGCAACTGGAAAAGAGTAAACTCGGAACAACGTCACAGTTGATCATCTGACTGAGCGAGACGATAGGGATCTTGCTAAAGCCTATTGCAAATACTGTCTCTCAACATCTGGAACAGCTGAGGCGTTAGAAGCATAGAAGTCGCCTACCCGCATTAACATAAAAATCGACATTTACAAAAACAAAACATGCTAGCACGTTTGTCGTACGCGATTAAGATGTGGCGACCTCAGCTTTAGCTTCCCTCACCCGCTAGCCAAAATTAAGTTAAGCTGAACAGATGAATTCTGCACGGGCACGGAAACACCACTCGTTGCTACCTATTGATGAAACAAGGCTCTTTTAGACGTGAGGTACCGTTGGTGTAGTTGTCTTCAGCAACGCGTGTATTTCTACGAACATCGATTCATAGAAAAGAATGTTAGCACCAATTTTAAAGTTTTTGATCGAGAAGAAGTGGCTTGAGCCTTGACAGTCTTAACATAAATTGTCACCAAAGTACAACATCGGCAGCAATCCGAGATGATCCCGCAGATGTCAAGGAATCGAAGATGAGGGGCCGCACACGTCATGCGATTCTGTGTTTACCATTGTACCACGACGGTTAGTAACTGGTTCCCTCGGAGCGTCAACGAAACACTAGGACCGTTACCAAATAGTTATACTTTTCCATGCAAACACTATAGGGAAAGAATGATTTTGATTAAGATCGATCTGGCAGAGAACTGCAATGGGTTGCCACAGGAAGAAATGGTGCTACTTGTACCCACTCGAGCAGACAAATATGTAGAAAATAGGAACAGGTGAGATTAAATATATGATTAAGTGCTAAATGACAAGGAAAAAAAACCTACTGTCCGAACTGACACTAGTCAAGAGTTCAACAACTCGGAAAATTTTAAACATATTATCCATACAGCCGTTGATAATCGGCATCAGAGAATGACGAAAAGCGTAGCTGAGAGGTCGTTCGAGCTGAAACAGAGACTAAAATCCACACACCAATCCGCTTAGCAAACCATACACTAATCGAGTTCACTATAAAGCGAGTAGTGGAAAACAAACAAAAAGTACCAGAATCCGCACTATCACCCAAAATTCCTACTAACTTGCACCTTCTGTCAAAGGAATTGCACATTCCTGCTTAACAAACAGTGATCTTAATCGCGTCGATGACCAAATTACGAATAATCAGAGAAACTGGGTGCACAAAGCCTCCTTACCGCTGCTGCGAAGTGCGTTCGAATCTGTTAACAAACAAATATTTATAAGGAAAAGATATAAAACGCACATCACACTGGATGCAGTGAGCAGTCTCTGAGAGAGCTCCCTGTTTTAGCCGCCACTTCGCTGCTCTTGAAGGAGTCACACCACCTCGGAGGAGCGCTGTCCGATACAACTCCTCGGTGTCCAACTGAAAGCTCTCTTATAATGACGAAAAAATGTTTAATTTTTCGAGTAAGCTCAATTCAAAATCCCTGAATGTGGGCGGTTAATTCTACCACGCCCTCCCCTCCCTTATTTCTCTACGCCTCCACCTAACCCGAAATTTGCCGCCTCAAGTTCAAACTTTTTGTTGTTGCAAGAGACATGATTCTCGGGAGGAATTTGCAAAGGACAGTGACATTACATAACCTTTATCATGAAATCATGTTGGCAACAACTCACTCAACTCACTGAAATTAATCCGATTCAGTTCGAAAGTGCATTTACTTTTGGGACATCTACTATAATATCTACTATACAATGAGATTTACCGCATAGCTAGACAGCCATTTCTGACAGATGGCACCAAGCTGCATAATTTAAAGAAACAGTTAACAAAAAAAGTTCTTTGCTAATTTTTCCTAGTATGGAGCTGCCACCCCCACGGATAGCACAGGGGACACTGCCAGTTTGAAAGGTGGCCTGTGTATGGCGTAACAAGGGGCGCAAAACCAGCTGAGCCGACAAACACACTTGAAGGCAGATGAGTCTCGCGGCGTTTAGGAGGCTCACCATTCGCACCGGGACGCTTACGCTGCACGCAGGCAGCTCACTGCAGTCAGCGGCACGCAATGGCACACACTTGGACAGCTCGTCCTAATACCCCTTCCGTGCAGCCTTTGCCATTCTCCTCCAACCCCGAACTTGACTACTTTTTTGAAGCCTTATATCTCTCTAAACACGACTCTTCGCGTTTTCTTTGCCCCTTTTGCACTGTTCTGATTTATCTCATCATTATTTGTGATCCAACAATCGATATGATGGGTTTTCACCAGCTTCACGTTAAATCACATGAACATTGACCGCTCGGTAAAAAATACTAGCCTGTTGCGCGACTTACGGCCTACTCCAAACATTCTAACAATCATCTACACAAAGTTCTGTAGAATTCATTGCACGAGGAATCGATCGACTCACTGGATGACTGTATACTCCTTGAGCTACTCTGGGACTTTTCAGAGTCATGGAAATCCCATTAACTGGACGAACCGTTATTCATTAAAATGGAGGATACTATTTGAAAAAAGTTTAGAGCATAACTGTTTCCCCCAAAACAAGCATAACTCACAGTTCCAATCATCACATGGTCTGAGGTGGATCCGTAAACAAATGCCGCGAAGCAGTGGGCCACTCTACCACAAGTGATCTCCTATAATATGAAGCCCTCAATCCCATAATAGAAGTGTAGCTGGCAAAGCTCACCTTTAGATCAATCCAGTGTTCTAATAGACCAGCTGCACAAATATTCATTAACAGCTCCTTGCTCAGACCATGAGTGAGTTTGGCGGCTGCGGACTCAAAAGCATGTTGGAACTGATGAAATGTGATGAACCTTGAAGCAGCTACGATTTGCTGTACAACTCCATCAACTAGCAAGTAGCTGAGTAAGGACCATTCTTTTAACATGGCGGTCAACTCAGAGAGGTAACGGTAGATAAAAACCCGTAACGGAATATTGCAGCTAACCTCTCAGGTGGCAGGTCGTGCTGTTCCAGATAGTCGTAAAATACTTCAGAGAAAACAGGAGCGATATCATTCTTTGGTCCAAGGCGCACACGAGCCCGAGCGCCACGAAGAACCTAAATATATTGGTAAAACACCGCTTCTCATTCACTTCGTTTTCCAGTAGAGATCAAGATATTAACTTTAGCATAAAGAATAGGGTGCTGATCAAGATTTACGTTCATACTCCTAGCTTTTCTCAGGCAACAAAAAGTTGTGCGTATGTTGAGAATCTCGCTGAAACCTGCACTGAATCAAAAATAGCTGATGATCAACGGTGAAGCTAGGTGCTTGGTACGAAAACTATTTTTGTGTAGAAGGGGATCTTGAAGGTAAGCCATTAGAAACAAATGCGTTAGAAATCAAGGTATTCCCAGATCAAAACACTCTCCACGAGAAAGAAAAAGCATGAGTCTACTCCAGGCTTAAGTATAATATAAAAGGTTACGCAGTCATTGAATTAGGAGTTCGTATTAAGGTGTCCGGAACGTTTTGATTAAATTAGGGTCGATTTTTCCAACTACAGCAATAAACTTAGATCAGTGATTGAGATAGTGGCCACAATGCCACAATGTCTCTCCATCAACCGTACTCGGATTTGATGTCATTCCTCCAATATGAAAAGAGGCGTGCGCCATTCATTCATGCACCTAAATGACTTCTCGACATTGGGGGAACTTCTTCCTGTAGAGCAGGCATATGGGCTTTTGTATGTATGGCAGTCATACGGGCTAAGGTCAGATGGATATGTGGGGATTCCAGGTTATACCACGTCTTCCCAGCTCATCCATCGACGTCCTCGCGTGGGGTGGTCGAGCATTATCCATCACGATCGAAAATTTCCTTGCAATCGGTGCGAAGTGGGGGCTGGAAACACTGTCTCTCATAGCCAATGACAAATTACTCTTGCGTTTACCGCAGGCACTCTGGTAGGATCTTATAGTAAAAGATCCGGCTAAGCAGAGAAGAATGAGCTCGTCTTTCTTGGCTTGAGCGCCTCACTTTACAGCGGGCTGTAGCCTTACGTCCGTTGTTAGGCATTATGATTTCCTGTGTGGATTTTCATGTAGCATCTACTTTTTACTCTGAGCAGTGATTTAGTCGGTTGATGCTCGCGTTCGTTTACAGTCGAGAAGCTTCTGGCAAACACTGGCTCGCACTTGACACTCCTGCTCAGTATAGGATGTGCGATATTTTCAAAGAGTCCTGCTTTGAAAGTGAGAGCGTAGAATGCCGTCGATAATGGATTGGGCAGTAGGGATCGTCCTTTCCAAATTCTGCCACTTGAACAGATTCCTCAGACTTGAGGTCAGGACAGTATCCCTACTTGAGGAGAGTGGACGTTCGCTTCGATAAACTTCGTCAAAGCAAACCTCTTCAGAGGTACAAGGTATTCTACTTACAGTTCACCATTTTTTCTTTATTTATTTAAGTGGAAAATTGACAAACGATCGTGCCGCTTATGATAGATGACAAGAGAAAGTGCACAACTGTCCATCACTCACCATATCTCATTCCAAGCCTGAGTGTCAATACGACCCATTTCATGATGGTGAAGCGGAAGGCTTCGGTAGTCTATCCATTGCACATCGTTCGATCGACGATTACTTGACTTCGAAACCACGCCAAATACCGATCAGCTGTAGCATTGATCTATCAACAATGCAATTCTCCCTGCTATCGAATCCATAGACCTCCTTTAGCGCGTTCGCGGGCAACTTTCCTCCAAAGCTGAGTGGTAAAATTTTGTCAAAACATTCCGGACACCCTAATACTAAATATTAGTTTACACCAGACATAAGAGAGCTGGTTCTATGATAAAATTTGCCGACCCACATGAGCAGCATCTTCGTTTATCATTGACCAGCTGTGTCCCACCATCAGTCCTACAGATTTGGAAATACTACGTCGTCGTAAGCGAAACTATGCGAGGGCCGACTCCATCGAATGTACGGATGATATCACTACGTTAATTATCTGGCTTGCGCTATACCGCATTAGGCAGTCCACGTGCTCGTTGACTTTGTGCCAAACGAAGAACCCAAGTAATAAGGGCAGCGCCTGTAACAAGAATCAGGTGGCGCAAAGACTGAATCTCACTCTATTTTATCGTGCCCGCTCCTAAGGCAGACAGATAGAATGCAGTAAGAATAATTGCTTCAACGTCAACGCCGCTTCCGCAGCTGTGCTCGCCATTACCTCTAGGCCCCCGTAAATCTTCTGAGCATGAGTACAATACCCACCCTAAATGTTCAAAAAAAAAAACACAAAAAAAACGCGTTTTCGCGTTTTTGCCGTTTTTTTCTCTGTAACTAGGTTGATTTACAGTTTTTGTATATAGTGTGTTATATGGTTGAACTCAATTCCTCGAGCTCTATAACATGGTTTATCTAAAATTTTGAAAATTTCGATTTTGAAGTCCCCCATTCATCAAAGTTCCTGAGGGTACGTCATTAGCAGCGACGCCTACCCTTATTATAACCAGAGGATATTCTCTTCTATTAGAATTATGTAGTCTGTGAAATGTGGAGCAGCTAATATTTTCCGGCATTAGGTGAAAAAAAGACCATGGCATTTCTCAGATTATCCTGATCACTTCGATACCAGTTTTCTCCAAAATGGATGAATTTGGCCATGGGCCAGATTCAAATGACAGAGGCTTTCAAAATGAAGTATAACCAACATAAGTTTATTTCTATTTTCAGAAATGGTGTGCCTATTCTCCAAAAAAAATTACTCCCACATAACTTGAAAATTAGTGCTTCGAGTTAAAAAGAAAAGTTTATATAATCGTTTAAAATCCTGTACGCGCCATGTTTATACAATAGCATAGGTTTTCTTGCTTTTTCAAGTAAAATTTCCGGTGACCAGGGAAGAGCTATAAAATGTTTAGGAAGTATTCATACTGAACTCTTTGGGAACGACCACTGGTTGTAAAAAATCGTAACTTTTCTGGACCATCGGCCTATGTATAGGCTCCAGATATCGCCCCAAATCATAGTAGCCAAAATTTTGATTTTTGCATTCAAAGTAGACATCCGAAAACCTGCTTAATTTAAATCCATTTCCAAAAAGCTACTCAGTCATATGAAAATCGATCCATAAAGTTCACTTCGAGTTTGCTCTTTCAACACCGCTTTTCTACTCTTCCTGTTCTCTTGGCCGCCCTATTGGCTCTCCAGCTCAGCTAGCCAGGACAGGAGATTGTCCCGCGACCTCTGCGGCTCTTGCAGTAATTACCCAGGGAGCTTCTCCGCACCTCGACAATAGCCTACCTATTAATGGTGCTGCAGTCGTAAACTGTTTTACAATCCACACATTCAAATGTAGCCGCTGCTTTAACATACTGATGAACTCGGAAATGGCGCAAATTTTCAAAGTTATACGAATTACAAACGAAAAACTTAAAGTATGACTAATATCGGTAGAAACGAAACATCTGCCAAACTAACTATCTGTAGAAGGTTGTCGTTCCAGAGCAGCGATTCAACGCTTTTGTCTGATCGAGTTGTGAGCAAATCCACATCCGATGCATCGCTGAAACATTTAGAAATCATAGTAAACAATTGAAAAAGGCGTTTTTCAGCGAAAGAGCACATCAAATGTTAGATTATTGCATGGCTTTCGAGAGAGCAGTTATCAGCTTGGAGAGCCTAACCCAAGGGGTGATAACAAACTACCACGGCACCACGAAACTTGTTTCATACTCGCTCATTCAAAGTTTTTTTTCCTAGGAACAAATACAACTCAGTAGTTCATTATCGTCATGACTTGATTTTGGAGCTGTAGTTTTTATGGCTGTCTAGAGCTTATATCGTTGTGGAGATTGACAACAAAAGATTGTAATTCGGGGAAGATAGTGGAAGCGCAACAGCGAAGCTCCATGTGTGGTGCGATATGTTTAACTTCGCACCACAAATGAAGCTTTACTGTTACGCTGTCTGTCGGCACAGCATAAGGCGCGAGTGTCATGCATTGCTTGAACAGTTAGCCTGTTATTGGAGCGAGGAGTTAGATTCCTACAGCAAAAACGTTAATGATGGATAAATTAGGAGTATATTGGTATTATTTTTAGGAGTGGTGAGTTTATTTACTAATACCGTAAACCCGGGGCCATGAGAAACTGAAACATCAATCGTCTTATGACAAAATCGTGTATTTTGATATTCTAAGAAGTGAAAGGTGTAGTAATTCATTCAGTTCGAGGCCCTCAGAAGGGTCTCAGTCTGTCAGTGAGTGATATGTTTGAAGGTACTCCATACCGAGGAGAGACCTGCAGTAAGATTTAAATGGCGTGTGACATTGCGAAGTGCCATCCTGCAACAAGATAACGGTCTATCATGCCCTGCCAAGCGAGCGAGACTCCTACACCAAGGCGTTCATGAAGATCAGGCCGGGTAAACAGACAGCTCATTCCACTGCCCTTTTTGCCTTGACTTACAGTAGCGCTCGAAAGTATTCGGCTAAATGCTTCTTTGATCGTTTCAATTCAGTCGTATCTCCTTTCATACATGATCGAATCATGTGAAATTTCAATATGTGTAGCATGGGCGTGAATATTTGCCACTATTAACTCTCTATCTGGTCATGTTCCAAATATCCCCAAGAGCTTGAAATCGAAATCAACTGGAAGTACAGACATCAGTGCTTCTAAGATTTCTCCCTTTTTTTGCGATGTCCAATGGGTACGAGCGCTAATGTCGAACACAGTTGAAGAGAAAAACGCACATGATCTGCGAATAACTGCAGACGTCAAAAACTTGCTTTCAGCATAGTCTACAATTGCCTTCCCCTTAGTTATGTGGACATTGCTGCTTTGCAGTCAAATAGTGATGTATGTGTGAAAAGTGCTTCAGTAAAACATATCAAAATTTCATGCGATTTGCTTCACTAAGAAAAAAGCTACGGCCGAAAAACTGCTCAGCCGAATACCTTTGAGCGCTACTGTATGTTGAGATGTTTGGACGTCGCGCAGGTTAGTTGAGCATGGAGCCAGTGTTTTAATGCGCTCTTGAAAGAACAATCTACAGGAAGTTTGATGGTACGCACAAATGAGAGCAGATACCTTAGTTCGGGGCTACGTCAATGAACGAATCATTGTCATCGTGAGTCACTGACGCTATGGGTTACTGCGTGGAATTGAGGAACAGTTATGCAGGACAGTTTCTGCGAGCCGGATACTAATAGGTTGATGCATAATTATTGCGGATTTTTTCGCGGCTTCTTTTTTCTCTATAAAATTCCAATATCGAAGTCGAGATTCCTATAAAAATAATCTACTCGCTTTCCTTAATAGAAATATGTCTAGAAGGTCATCATCTTACTCGCCACATTATGCTCTATTACTTCGAAAAATGATGGAAGGTGGCACACTCATTACGCGATCTCAACGAACTTTTTGGCAATGGAATTGTTGGCCAAAGCCAACTGAGAACTGGGATTTGCTCCTAAATCTCCACATTGACCCATGGAAACTCCTAAGTTATCACGTCACCCGTTCGTTAAAAGATTGGCTAGCAAACAGGCCTCACGACGAAATGGATGACTTGGTAGCCGATGTCAAGGTGAGGATCGCCTCCAAGGATCGACACTTCTTCGCCTGTGGAATCTGGCTGCTTAACAAATGGGAAGCAGTGCTTGACGTGGATGGTCGATACGTTTTATAGTAATTATTTGACCATGTCTCTGCTAAATATTTCCACCGTTCTTTGAGAAAAATTTGCTGGAAAAAATCCGCAATAATTATGCATCGACCTAATAAAATCAATTCAAGGAAGTGAGTGCTGCTCCACGTAATTGACGGTGGATGGCTTGATAAATGATAGAGTGTTAAAGATGTCTGCCCAAATTTGAAATACGCCGCCACTCTTTCTAACGTAAATCTCGCTTCTAAGTTGTGCTAAACTCATTTCCGTCAATCACAACCCAATCATCCGTTCATGCTGGCCCTCTCTCTCTCCCTTTACCAGTTTTATTTCGTAATTGAATCGTCCAACTACCCGTTGACATTCTCTTCTCGGTACAGTCGATTCGACATTTTCAACTGAGTAATTCCTTGCCGGATTGTAACAGTGGACTGTAATGAAAAAATCCACCTCTTGATTGAAAGCGGGAGAGGTCAGTGCAGATTTTGCACTACATACACTTTCCTTCAACCCATTACTTGAAAGCTTGAACGAGAAACGCCAAATGAGCCACTATACATATAAATCACCTGACTTGTCCGGATTACGCCTGGCCCGTTCATCTTTTGACAAGGTCCGAATGCGCGGCTGTCCAGCCAAGTTTCTATTCAAAACAAATATTCCCGCAAATAATCTCCAGTATTCGTACCCTACCATCTTTGTTCCTTCCTGATTTTTTTTCGACTTGCCTTTCGTGACTTCCACTTACAGGCAGTATTCGCTGCGCAGGTCAACGGGGGATTCACACCGTTAGGTTCATTTCATTTGAGCGTCCTGGAGCACCCTCTATCGCAGAAGATACCTGTGCATTGTTTTTACTTTCTCTATCATTTTTTAGACTGGCTCTTAAACCTGATTACGCCACAGTCAGCGGAGGGTTCTTCCCAGTAATCGGAAGTCCTGCTCTCTTTCGATGGCTTTCCCTAAGCTATTTACTATTGGTTATGCGCAGTCCTCCGAGCTGAGAAACTTGGTTTTTTTTATACATTCAGCCGAACTCCATCCTCCGAAAGAAATCCTTGCCATTTCTGCAGCTTTTCCTAGAGCTTTTTTCCGACTCTTGGCTGATAGAGCGTCATGATGGACGGTTTTCTGCAATCCATCAAGGTGTCTCTTGTGCTGACAACCATGTTAAGCAGAAAAAACGGGTCGTATTGCAATCAAATGGGGAGCGACATTTTTAGCCTTTCATTGGTA